GCTCCTCCTTGGGAAGGGGACAGGCTGCGGTGGGGGGATGCTGTCACCGCCTTCCTCCCGGTTTGTCCCCAGTGCTCGAGTGAAGGGCAAGGCGCGTGGGGTGGAGATCCGCACGCAGAGGACATTTTGCTTTGCTCTGTTTGTCACTGTGTGGGCGAGAGAAGAGGCGCCAGCGCCAGCCCTGTCCTGGTCCCCTGCTCGTGGCCGGCGTGGGGATGTCCCCTGGCCGTTTCCCACTCCGGGCATGGGAGCAGGCACTGGAACCTGCTGTGCGCCCCTGCCCCGTGAATAAGGTGTATGGGGGCTTGCTGGGAGCTGCGGGCAGCCCCCCAGCTCGCCGTGCCCCCCTGCCCAAAGCTGCCAACACGCGCGCCCCTCGCGAAGCTCTGCACCCCGCGGCACGGCCTGCGCGCATATGTGCCCTGGGGAGGGTCCTGCATGCCCCTTTGCAAGCATGACTTTGCCAGGGAAGGTCCTGCATGCCCCTTTGCAGGTGTGCAAATGCCAGGGAAGGTCCTGCATGCCTCTTGCAAGGATGCGTGCCTCATGGAGTGTCCTGCAAGCGTGCATGCCCCTTTCCAAGCATGCATGTTCTGGAGAGGTTCCTGCTAGAGTGCATGCCCCTTTGCAAGAGTGCATATGCCAGAGAGGGCCCTGCAAGCGTGCATACGTGGGGAGGATCCTGCAATCCTGCATGCCCTTGCAAATGTGCATGCCCCTTGCAAGTGTGCATGCCCTGAGGAGGATCCTGCAAGCTTGCATGCCCCTTTGCAAGTGTGCATGTCCCTTTGCAAGGGTGGGGATGGTGCTGCAAACGAGCATGCCCTGAGGCACTGGGGCGCCGAGGCTCATCGCAGCGCGCCGTGGGAGCGTGTCCTTATCTCTGAGCGCACGAGCGTTTCCAGCAGCCATCACATGCTCCCAGTTCAACCGCACGCGCGAGGGTTGGGCTGGACGGGGCCAGTTTGAGTGCAGAGCTTGAGGAGAAGCCCCTGAACCCACCGCTGGGGTGAGGTGGAGGCCAGCGATGGCCTGGGACGTGGAAACGTGCAGTGCGCCACATGCACCAGGCTCACGGCTTTCCCAGGAGCGTTATCCATGGCCAGACCCGGATAGATCCCTCTT